CCCCAACAGGACACACAAAACCACCACCACCCCTAAAATCCCCAAGGCTGCAGCCTCTGTCGTGCCAGCAGCTCTGGGCCCAGAGCCAGCCTGGGAATTCTGCCCTTGAGCCCAGTTTTGAGGAAGGAAAAAGGAAAAAAATAAAAAAGAGCCAGGAGGGTGTGAGGGTGAGGATCTGCACAGGGCAGGAAAAGGAAATATCTGCAATATCTGTTCCATGAGAGGAGCTGGCTCAGGGTCAGCCCAGCAAACGCAGCAGCGGGGCCAGGCGTGTGCAAAACAATTCCTGGCTGCTGAATTTGCAGCTTTTTCACACTTGAGGGCAGGGCTGAGGCTGTGGAGCCTCGCTGGGAAGGAGTTCATGGATGGGCAGAGGTCCCAGGAGGAGCAGCACTGCTCCATGGGTGTGGAACAAATGACAACAGAGCTGGCAAAACAAAGTCCTTGGGGTAATTTGGATTCAAATAAGGAAAAATCAACCTAAAAAAAAACCCCACAGAGGTGCTTTTCCTTGTGTTTAGAAAAGATTTCTATTTATTTCCTCTTTTTTTCCCCTCCCCCTGGTTTATAAATATGCCCAGCAGGGCAGGCAGCCAACCCCAGTTCCCCTCACTCTTGTCCCAGTAAAAACCACTGGAGAATTCCCACTTCCCCAACCTCCCAAACCCCCAAAAACAACTTCAGGCCCTTCCTGCAGCCTTGGGCAAGGGCTTGGAGAAGGGAAAAGAAGAGGAGAGGAGAGGAGAGGGAAATTCTCCTTCAGGCTTCAAACTCGAACTCGAAGTACTGAGGGTCGAAGTAGTGGATGCGGACGTAGCCATCCTCCCCCCCACTGCTGTAACTGCAGGAGGAAAGGGAAAATCAGCAATGGCAGGGTCAGCAATGCTGCTGGCAGCACAAATAGGAAGTTTGGCCTCCTCACCCACTCCTGAAACTGGTACAGGAATCATAAAGTGGGAAAAATAATCAGGGATGTGGGGCAGGGTGTGAGTGACTGCCTGGGCTGGGAATGGGAGAATTCAGGGGCTGATTCCACTCCTAGCACAGAAATCACCTGAGTCTGGTGATATCCCAGTTCAAAAGTGGGACTGGGGACACTGGAACTGGGGACACTGGGGACACTGAGCTGTAGCTGCAGAGAGGAATGGCAGAGTCAGGGGTGGCAGAGTCTGGGATGGCAGAGTCAGGGATGGCAGAGTCAGGGATGGCAGAGCCAGGAATGGCAGAGCCAGGGGTGGCAGAGCCAGGGGTGGCAGAGTCAGGGGTGGCAAAGTCAGGGGTGGCACAGTCAGGAATGGCAGAGCCAGGGGTGGCAGAGNCTTGGTGATCTGGCCCTCCGTGGAGCCCCAGAGCATCCAGCTGTGGCAGGGTGAGTGGGATGCTCCCAAAATCCACCCTCGGTTGTTCTGCCTTTCCCTCTCTGACAGGGCTGAGCTCACCCCCAGCTCTTTTTCCCTGCCAGGTTTTTTCCTTTGGTGCTATTTTCCCTCTCTGACAGGGCTCAGCTCACCTCCAGCTCTTTCTCTCTCCCAGATTTCTTCCTTCAGTTCTGCCTTTCCCTCTCTGACAGGGCTGAGCTCACCCCCAGCTCTTTCTCCTTGCCAGGTTTTGTCCTTCTTTGCTGTTTTTCCCTCTCTGGCAGGGCTGAGCTCACCCCCAGCTCTTTTTCCCTGCCAGGTTTTTTCCTTTGGTGCTATTTTTCCCTCTCTGATAGAGCTGGAGGTGAGCTGAGCCCTTTCTCTCTCCCAGGTTTCTTCCTTCAGTTCTGCCTTTCCCTCTCTGACAGGGCTGAGCTTACCCCCAGCCCTTTCTCCTTGCCAGGTTTTGTCTTTCTGTGCTGTTTTTCCCTCTCTAACAGAGCTGAGCTCACCCCCAGCCCTTTCTCTCTCCCAGGTTTTCACCTTCAGTTCTGTGTTTTTCCCTCTCTAACAGAGCTGAGCTTACCCCCAGCCCTTTCTCCCTCCCAGGTTTTGTCCCTCAGTTCTGTGTTTTTCCCTCTCTGACAGAGCTGAGCTCACTCCCAGCCCTTTCTCTCTCCCAGGTTTTCACCTTCAGTTCTGCCTTTCCCTCTCTGACAGGGCTGAGCTCACCCCCAGCCCTTTCTCCCTCCCAGGTTTTGTCCCTCAGTTCTGTGTTTTTCCCTCTCTAACCGAGCTGAGCTCACTCCCAGCTCTTTCTCCCTCCCAGGTTTTGTCCCTCTGTGCTGTTTTTCCCTCTCTGACAGAGCTGACCTCACTCCCAGCCCTTTCCCCCTCCCAGGTTTTTTCCTGCGCTGGATCCGTCCCTCCCAGCACCTGGAGGAGGCCTGGGGGCAGATCCAGAGGTTGGTGCA